AAACAGAGCTTAGCAACCTTCCTTCTGGCTGTCTCAGTCTTCATGTATAGCTGCTGAGCTAAAATTAAATAAATAACCATCTTTTAATACTGTTTTTAGAACCTAACAATGCACAGAAAATCTTTGTCCTTAAGTAGGTCCCCTATTCCATACTTAAGAATTTGAGTTTTAGTGTTTCCCTTATAACCACACCATTGTTCTTCATCTCTCAAACCAAGTGAAGAGAAGCTTCGTTCCGTCAGTACAATGAGTCGCCTGTCAGGACATCACGAAGTATCCATACCCATTCGTAGCTTTGAAATGGAGAAGTATCACTGCTAAAATATGATTCCAAATCGGTGCCTAACATTTAGATTAGCTTGTGGATAGGATGTGAAACAATGGTAGTAAGTGGATCAAACCGAAAACAGTATGTCACGTGAAGCCGAGAATGTACATTATTATTATTATAAATCTGGAAGGGCGCCGGATCAAGGTAAAGCAAGACAACAGCTGAAGCTTAGATTAATCGTGCTCATATTGAGCGAGAACTGATGGGTTGGACGGTTTTGCTGTACAAGTTAGGTGATCCGACCATGGTTGCCGTCATTAGGCAAAAATTCGATGTGTTGATATAGTACAATCAGCAGCAGAGATGACACTAAGTATAAATAGTAAAGAAAAGGAAGGGGAGCCAGAGCAGAACATATGCGTGTTGAGAAAATATTCAAGTTCATGGCATTTACGCCTTTGGAGCAGTGTCGGTTTGCAATCAATGTGAAGAAAACGTGGTGTCGATGAGACAGCCACTTAGTGGCTGCATCCACCCTCGGACTTGCCGCGAATAACTACAAGACACTGGGACCATCAGAGAGAGGATAGTCGGTTGTGATGTTTCAAACACAAATAAAATGCTAACCCAAAGGAACGAGGCCAACAGGTCTAAGGATAGAAGGTACGACTATTTTGAAGTTGGCCCATATTTCAACAAATTGCACATCACCCATGGGTAGGGGAATCTGAATTACAGCACATGAGGCTAACGACAAGGCCAAGAGACCGCAAATGTAATATACAGCAAGCGTACACGCACTTACAGGAGAATTCAATTTTTAAAGGATTGCCGCCTACTAAAAACAAAGAAAATGTACTAGCTTCTTGATGGAATCACTGTACGCGCCAAACACTGTGCAACGAGAGACAATCGACAGTTCCCCGGAGTCAACGCCTGAGGTAGCGACAACAAACGGGTAGTCAGGTCATCGACAGCCGAGATCAGACCAGACGCATATCGCGCTACAACAAACACCCGCCAATGAGGTAGGACTACGCCGAAGTGACAAAATTCCACACATGATTTGTCGGTCACGGGATCGCCATCGTTGAGCTTCTGAAATGGAGGATGATCGCGCGACTCGTTCGCTTTCGAACTACGAGTTAAATCGAAATTGAGTTCTCGTAAAGAGGACAATGTTGAGGAAAAAGTTCGAGCGCCTGTGAAATTCGCATAACTGTGCATAAACTTACGTTAGTTAAATGACAACGGCAGCCGCAGACTTTTGGGACCACTTGCAGACGTAGACGAAATGGTTGGGACTAATGGATAGGATGAGAACATGCAAGTTCGGATACACAAAGACCCAAGGATGATCGCCATAGTATCATAAGCAACACGGTGTAATCTATTGTGCAGGTCCATCAGTTCGAGTGCTCACACGAGATACCCCTTGTTACGCACCGAGTTGGAATAACTCGATCTGGCGTTGTTCCGCAGTTAGAAGGTAGGGAGGATAAGGCTAAGTCAAAGCGAACAGTCGAGCGTCCAAAGAATGGATTTATGAGAGAGTGAGCGCACGAGTGTTGTCGGTTTGCAGACTCACTTCCCAGTGGGCGGTGGTCTACTTAGAGGTACTGCCCAGTCAGCGCAGAGGTTAATTTTCATAAACTTGTCTCATCAGGTGGAGACAGCAGGCCTCGATCCCGCGACCAATGGAATAGTAGTCGAAACCTACTACTACTATTCCAATGGTCGCGGGATCGAGGCCTGCTGTTTCCACCTGATGAGAGGAAATTACATCGAAACGCGTCGTGGTTGTGCAGTGTTTTCGGGTGGGCAACGCCCAATTTCCATCTGCTTTGAGTACGGTCCATGTGATCGTTGTGACTAAGGTTCACTTCAATGTGAACCACAGTCCATTACATTGAGATTGCGCTTCGCAATCCAATCACACAACGTGTAGTCCAAACTTGACCCTCCAATTCCCTAAACTTGTTTGCATGGACGCTTTGAAGCCTGCTGCGGCAGCAGATCGAATATCTGACGGAATGGGTGACGTAATCCGTGATGGAACGAATGAGGAAAAATTAGCTGACAACGCGCATGTAGTCATTCATGATCGGATGGGCAAATCTGTCGGTTTGAGTGTTAGAAAACAGTTGTTGTGTATCGGTATCGCTTCCATGGGAAATTAGATTACAGTAAGTAGCCTGAGAGCAGAAAGTATGAACAGCAGATTACATCACATTATTGAAATTACTGAAACCAAAAATAGCACCTAAAGCCTCGATGGCAAGCCTAGACAATAAATGCATATCTGGCAATCAACATGAAGTTAAGTGAAGGCAAGCCTCCTCTTCAGAATGGGTGAGGTAGTGGAGCGCAATGCGAACCTCAGACAGACAACCCGGTGAGGATGTGATAATAATTACATTACTGATGAGAGTTGCATGCTATGTCGGGTAATCGCCTAAAAGTAGCACAGACTGGGGCCGCGTGGACCCCACTCCGAATGGAGATAGATGGAGTGGAATCGGTTTCCAACAACAATAAAGCACTCGTGATAATAGTAGCGGTCGAGAACATTCTGTGTATTTGAATCAGATCGAAAAACGGGCTTAAAGTGACTAGAAAAGATGAGGACATGTCGCAGCTCGTCACCGCTAGATCACAATGTGACCAAAAGATCGTGCAAGGCATAATTATTTTTCCATAAACTTAAACACTGGTCAGATGGATGCACGCAAAACACTGTACAAAGCAAATAATGCAGCAAATAAAGTCACAGGTTCAACGCATGGGCTTGAGCCAAAAAGAGGACGTAAAAAGAAGGGATAAATGGGTTGATTCGAGACGATTTTGAACAAGCTGAGCGAGTGGATGAGGGTGCTTTCCATTGTGAGTGTATTGGGACCTGAAACAAGCTAGGATAACAGGTCAGATGTGTGGCACGTTGCTTCACACGGGATTGGATGATTCCGGACCATACAACCTGTGAAAACAATGGAGAGACAAAGAATACACGTCACAACATATCATGCACTTAGTTGTTCCCAAAAGTCTTTCTCATAGCCTTCATGAACATGTTCCAATAGAACCTGTCTCCGACTTTCGCAGTACCTAGCTTTGTCTTGTAACTTTTGCTTAAGTTCGTTCAAACTGATCGCAGAGAAATCCCGATCAAGAAGACCGGATAAATGTTCTGTGGCAAGTTCCAAGTCACTCTGATTACCCTCGAAGATGATCGAATGATTGTTCTTTTTTAGGAAGTACGCGAATGCGTATGTGTACATTAGCGTTCGACGGCAGCTACATAGGGTATCAACGACTTTTCGGAAAAACTTCACATCGATCCACGAGGTACCATTGGCCTGCATTGCTTCCATTTTGTTTTGTACTGATTCATACAATCGGGCCTCGAATCGTAACGACTGTAAATGGTTGACGTACCGATTGAAATAGAACAGGTACCGTTCAAGATTCACTCGTGACTGGGCCTGAGCATCGCGTGCCTGCTTCGCTGTTGCTTCGTCGTATCGATTGCAGTTGTACCAACGAGCGCCGTGTGGCTCCCATCGATCGAGGCAGAGCCAACAGAATTCGTGTTTGCAATCCACATTACGACATGTCATGTGATTGCAACCGCCATTTTTCTCTATGGTTGCATGACATTTGGGGCACTCCTTGGTGTTTGCGGCTATCCAGTTGGAGGTGCCCGAATCATCGCTGATTCGTTTCAGCCAAACTTTCAGCTGATCACAACGAACTGGATCGTGCCAAGGTTGACCGCATGAGAAGCAGAAGGATTCGGAGCAGTTGGTACAATTGATCTGATGTACTTCCTTTGGGCCGAAGCATCGAGCAGCGTAGCCACAATCCACCCCTGGGCACCAAGTCAAGGCCCGGTTGTGCAGGACAAAACTGTTTGTGATTAATTTTTGAAACCGCCGCCGAACTGCCGGACTCGTCAGCATTTGGAATACAGCTTCGTCCTCGATGAGAATATTGCAACCATAGGAAGGGCAGTAAATTCGGTCGATCTGGCTTTCCTCCATAACCTTCCACTCCAAATATCGTCGCCAACAAAGTAGACAAAAGTAATGTTCGCAGGTTAAACAATGCATTTGATCTGAAACGATAGCACCAATGGAGATGGTTTAGGCTTAGAATACGAAATGTGAGCTATTTCAGAGAAGGTGAGTAGAACAAGTGATACAGCATTTTAGATAACCGTAGGACTAGCGAAGAGCAAATGTAGTCCAGGGTGGTTGTGGGCGAATGCCATTCTGGCTGCCTTATAGTGCAATTCGTTTTTCACCATAAGGAAGACCGTTCGGTCCCAGTGAACGAGATGGCCTAACATGGTTGGCGGCATCCGGTTTCGGATTTGCCTGTCACTGCGACATCTACAGGACGCCTGCGCCTACAGAGGGACCATGGGTGGCTTGCGCCGCACCACCCACACCACCAACCACACACTTCATGTCCAGTGTAAATCCGGAGGAATAAGACCGGGAGGCATGTGGATGGGAGCCACATTTCATCAACGGAGTCGGCCAACACTCCTTCACAGGCAAACACAAGCACGCTGTAGTTGGGAAATCAAGCGCACACAAGGCGGTGGCTGGACCGTAGTCCGCTCCACACTGAGTGCATGGAACTACTCTTCGAGTCTAGCACGGCCACAAGGGCTGTGCACCCCGTCTCCTCCAGCAACGACCAACTGTCTCCTGGAGCAAGTATGGACGAGGTAGTGGGTAATAGACAGGTAGGCACCTTGTCAACTTGCGCATGAAGCGCAACCACACTGGGGATGCCAAACAACAGCCAATCAGTTGAAATGACATTAACAAATAAAACATCTGTTAAAACATACAGCTATGCCGACATAACTCTTCGCTAAATTTGCATATGAAGTAAGTTGGTTATCAAGGATTAAGCCACAAGTACAAAATGTTCGCAAGTTACTCAAAAAGTGCTACAAATGCAATAATGTTAACAAAGATACACGCAATTAGCGTAAGCAACGTGTGCAAATCAATGAAGGTTATTCAAGTAGGCAGAACAAACTAAATAAAGTGGAATGAAATTTATCCAGCTTATAAGGAACTAGTTTAAGTGTAAGTTGGTTTAGTCTAACTGCAGTGAAGAAGCATCATGAATGTAACATCAGCCTCAGCATGGGGCATGGGCTAACATACACAAACACATACAAAGGTATGTGCGTGCGTACATTTGCGAATCTTGATAATGGGTGGTGCACCAAATCAGAAAAGAACGAGACTTTCACGGCGAGAGGACATGTGGTCGTGGCCGGTATCGGTTGCGGTACTAAACTGGATATTGCAAATAAAGTAGCTGCGTTTCGGTGCCAATACCAAAAGATAGAGAGACAGTCGCCAACCACTGATGCTGGAATAATACTGGAGGCTTAGTATAGTTATGAAGTTTTGATGAGACCCATTACCAGTACAAATCGATGAATAAGAAATAGAACAACCGTATAGCGACATTTCTAGAAAGCTTACAGAAGTGACAGACCTAGAGTGACATAAATGAAATATCGCTTCTATAGACTTGCTGATATGCAAATGTAGTGTAGTACGACGCCCAAAAGTAGTGATCGTGATATACAAGCGACAACCTACTGGTGCGGGAATAACGCACATGGATCTAGTACCGACCCAGAAGAATGAAGTGCGCTGTTAGTTAGTAAGAAATCGAACGAGCGGCAGATACAGACAAGAGACCGTTTGGTGAAACGAATCCTGTTAGCAGTGTTATGAGTGATGGGGTAGTTTGGACTACAGCTCACTGGTAACGCAAATGTAGGGTGGGGAAGGATTCAGATAAACAACAAGCCCGATGAGCTCGTCTGCCGTAACCAAATGGAATGAATGAGTGTTAGAAGGGTTGTCAATTACGGCACGTGAACTTCACAGTTAAAATTCCACGGGATTCGTGTGCCATGATCAGGACCTGGGCTTGAACTATACATGACTGAACAGCGAGGGAGCAGAGATGGGTACCAGAGCTGAATAACCCCCATAAACAAGCGAAAAGCTGTATATACCATGTGCACATTTTCGCGTTTTGGAGTGGTATAGAACGACGAATGCTTCAGAAGTTGTAAACAGAATCGAACAGAAAATACTGAAGCAGCTAGTGATATGGTTGCACAGATAGCAGAACTCTGGGAATGTAGTCCTCTTCCACATTGTTGCTGAATTGTGTGGTTGAGAACCGAACGAGGAGGTTGAATACCACAAAGTTTGTACATTTATGTGGGGGGAGGATAATCAGTCCGTAGACTAAACGCTAGCAATACTCCCACCAAATACAGAATGCGTATCTGTCACTATCTATCAGTGGACAACACTGGAGTAACCCGAAGCAGCAGCGAGATAATAGTAGAGCCATGCACCGGAAGAAATTAAGTCAGCCACACTTGGATAAGTTCACATTGGTGAGAATAGAATCGAAAGTGACCAAAGTTTGGCTCGGTGACAAACACACAAACACTAGATGTATACTAGTGATGCGGAATGTATGGTGACAACGACAAGGACATATCAAAGCAGTCTCGAACACGAGTTGCTACCCATCCGTCAGCAAGTAGAAGGTATGTGTTGCATCTGTCATTGTAAGCCCCTGTGTTGTGCACGTGACAAAAAACACCGCAGTGGTTCGTATCACGTGCCATCCAAGCAAACATGAAACCAGATAGTCCGATTCATTCGGGTGACAAGGAACGAGTGAGGACGATGAAAGGTTAGACAGAAGCCGCGGACCACCGGCAGCGGACACGAATCGTAGTGACGCAGTAATAAACTGAGGTGATCGGAGAACATAACCACATTGTTGCGAGTTGACAGTGGCGTGCGATGAATAACTAGTGTCCATACTCTCCATTAAGAGCGATGAAAAGCAGTATCAATGCACATTCTTGAGGAAAATGATCATGGAGCTGAATGGTTGCGGGTAAAATGGACCAAAGCGAAAGCCAGGGGAAAAGATCGATCTGACGAAAGCATGTAGAAGTCGGAATGTGGGGCATAGAAGATAAGGGGCAAGGTGTTCGGAATACCTAAGCCTTGATACCAGCAGTAGATCGGATGGGAGAATAAACCCAGGAGATGGGGATTACTATGATGTACACTGGGGAAGCGCGGAAGGAGCGATTCGCTGGATGATACCCGATGAGGTAACAGTAGTGGAGCCGCAAAACCACTCGTCGCTTAGGTCAGTACGCCAACACACAGATACACACGCAAGACAGGTTCGTAAGTGGAGTGAGACGAGGGAATCAAAAGAGAGACAGGTATGAATAGAAAGTGTGCGAATGGCGACGTACCGCGGGAATAACAGACACAGCAAATATCACAGATAAATCCTGTTGAACCGGCCCCAGTTGATGATGTGTTTGTTGATGCTGAAAGAAAGCAAACAGTTGAAAATGCTGCTAGGAAAAAGAAGCCACGGATATAAGTTGGGTGGGAAATGATAATGTCGAAGAGCATAAGAAACAAAGTTCACAATATGTAGTGGGATCGCGTTCTTAGTGATTTTGGTTTTAGCATAGATCAAACTTGTGTGTGGTATTCGACAAGGTAAACCATGAGGTCCTCCTCCACAAGCTGAGAATGTGCGATGTTGGTGGACCACTGCACCAGTGGATCCAGGACCTTCTCGTAGGGCGAAAGTGGAGGGTAGAGGGCGACAACCATCTAACTGACTGGTATCCCTCGACTAGTGTTGTGCCCCAAGGCACGGTGATGGGGTCCGCTCGGTTCGTAAACCATATCGATGATCTATTTCAGATTCTTCGGTCGCCGTGTGCCCTGTTTACGAACGACCTGAAGATTTGGAGAGAAATTAGCACCCCAACCGACTGCAGCCTACTTCAGCCTGATCTCAAGCGCCTCTCCATGTGGTCTATGGAAATCCGCCTCCCGATCAACCAATCCAAGTCGACATTTAGGAGCCTGGGGAAGGGTGGCGGCGGCCGAATTTACACCATCGACAGCCAACCGTCACACCTCGCACCTTTGGTAAAAAAAATCAATACGTACTATCGCGCTGCGATTTGAAGTCCATAGACAACACAAACGGAGAATATGATAACGGGCTGTGCGTGCTTTGAGCGATCAAATTCAGCCTCTGTGTTTGGTGTGAAGAGGTCACTACTGGCCTCTTCTTTTCCATTATAAGACGAATACTGGAGTACAGCTCATCTGTCTACTACCCAATCACCCGACGGGAGGCAGAGAAGATCGAAGGGGTCCAGCTCGTCGCTACCATGCCCATTTTTAACTGACGAGGATTTACGAAGACCTGTGCGAGAAACTGAGACTCTACAAATTGTCCTATCGTCGGGTGCGAGTACATTTCATTATGATCCACATCACGGTGACTTCCCAATGCTGAAGCCGCTGCTTCACTTATGAACGCCATACAGCACACGCGGACAGTGATGCAAGCTTGTGGCGCCGGTTATAAAATGATTACCCCACGCCTGAGTTTCAAACAGAGAGTGGTAAATGTTTGGAACTGTCATGGAGGCTAAATCTGTGCAGCAATCCAAAATGTTGTTGAATTTACATTGGACCACCATCTGACTCAGAGAACGATTGCACACTAGCAATGACATTTTGCATTTGTGAGCCAGTGAAACTGTAAATCCGACAGCTTAAAATGCTACATAAGAATTTGACATACGAATAGATTACCACGGATTGCAGATACTTTTTATACTATTTTTGATTATATTGTGATGGAGTTGTACAGCTTTAAATTTCTACTTGCTCCCACGTACAGTATTCAGTGAACAGGATTGTGTCACAGAATGGGCTGCCAAATAAAACGGCGTCGGAGTGAAAAGGCGAGCTGCAAGTAAAAAAATGCCACTCATTCATCACAACAGCCGAATGTAGCGAAGCGCACGAGTATCAGGAGCAAACTTTCGCCGATGAGTGGCAAGGTTAATGGACATCGAGCACCCAAAGTTAATGTCGAAAGAATGGAGCTAGCCAAATGAAGCTCCGCATAGCAACTGTCCCCACCACAAGCTGGTAGGTTATGTAAAACGTTCGGGGAGCAAGCCGGTGTGAAAGAAAAAGTCTGTCTTAAGCAGACTCAGTATTAAACCGTTGCAGACGTCAGACCATAGACAGGCAACACCATAGCCTAAAGCATGTTAATTCAGTTAGTAGACAGGGATGAGCAATGCACATCTTTGGACACCAGTGATTAGAGAAAGTTAATGAATAACTAAGCAGCAATGACAGCCGAAAGACCAAGTGTCTGGTTGACAGGAAATCCAAAACACTTCACTTGAAGTAATCTGTAATGAGGCAAAAGAATGCCAAAAGCAAGGTTGCTTGAATGCCAAATGATGGCATTCATTTCGGAGATGCACAGGGAGGTGTTATTATCTACATCAATCCCTCGGGGCGCACGTCAACAGTCACAACATTTTAACCCCTGAATTTCGTAACGTAGGCCAAGGTGTTTACGAGACTACCAGTCGATTTTGCCGGTTAATATTTTCTACAGTTTTCCAACTTAAGAAGCAGAGGGGTTTAATGGTTAGTCTGCTATCGATCGCCTTGATCGTTTTCTCTACATATTTGATGGAGTCCAGCAGATTTGATAACACTTCTCCTGAAAATCTCGGGTTGGGAAGTGATGTAAACTCCCCATCAAACTTAAACCAATCCTAGACCTAAAAGGTATTAACCGTGTGAAGCTATTCTTGTGTGAAATTAGACACTGATTGGTAGTTCTATTCACTCAAAGATCAAGTTATCTTCTCACGTTTATAACTACATAAAGCGTATGGAGGTTACTCGTTGTAATGATCGCTCACTTAAAAGACAACTTTTACTTTACAACATATATAGACTACGAAAAACAAATTGCATACGCAGACTTCAGTAGCTTCCTTGACACATAGGTATCTACGAACTGTGACCAGTTAACGAGCTATTTCAACTTTTGTTTTGATACCTCAGGAGAGCCCTGTCATCAATGTGGAGCGGTTCTCATCTCTATACCTAAAGCGTTTGTGTACACTCAAGGGGAAAGCGTTTAAAAGAGAAGACCAAGCTAAAGTGAAATCCGTTTTTATTTCTACCAAGGCAGAGTTTCGTCGTCTAAAACATCTATATGTCCAGACTATATTTGGAAATAATAGTTGTCGGGAAGTCTGGCGGATGCTGAAACAGCTTAATGGATTCCCTCACCGCAAGAAAGTTGCGGTTCAAGTTTTATTATATGCCATCGACAGAAATACACAGCACAATAAACACTAGCAGCTACATTCCAACAAGGCGAATGGCCTGGTCGGACCATCTCACTTTGTTCTTAACGAGTGCGTTGATTCTTTGGCCCAGCCGCTTGTTGATTTATATACGTAGTGAATAAAATAAAATTGCTGACTGTCGAAGAAGTGATAGCATTATGACAGTGACAAAAATAGGTTCACATACATACCGGCCAATTGCTTGCAACTCAATAAACCTAAAAGTCGTCGAAAATATTCTTGAAAGGATTCTGACTCATACCCGTTCGTGTGATCCGCACCAGTCTGCTTACCATGGTTCTAGATTTACTCTATTTTAGATACTCAATGTTTTCATCACTAAACAACAAGACGAAATGCGTGCGAATGTTTTCTTGATTACACTAATACTTTCGGCTATGTAAACCGTGAGCTTCCATTTAGAGATTTACATTATTTTGGAATTCCACCATCTACCGTCCACTTGGACCAGCCCAATTTACCTGAGTTGGAAGTAAAAGTTAATAACCATCGGTGTTGTTAGGGGAGCCGTACTGTATCCACATAGCTTTTCTGCTCACATCGGTTCATTATTTGCCTAGGATGAAGCGATGCCGCCGAAATATGTAGACGACGTGGTCTTAGATATCCAACATCCGATCGAAGCCACATCTAACAAATTACTAGTCCATGTGGACAACTTTAAAGTGTGGCCTAGAGCTTACTTTTTATTACTTAATACGTTAAAATGTAAGGAGGTTCTCTTTTAATACACAACGGCCGTCGTTACAAGCAACCTCTCATGGAATGCTCTGAACTTCGCGTAGAGAGTGAGAGGGCGCAGTGAAGGATCTAGGTGTCACAGTCGGTTATGATTTCCCTTGGACACTCTATGTGAATGAAGCTTCACAAAAGTCAGGAGCTTTCTTTTATACGCTGCGCATCAGCTATCCTCTTCTGCCCCTGACTAGTTATTGCTGTAGGTTATAACCGCATGGAGGTAATACCACTAGACCTATTGCTCTCTTGTGATGTTTCCAGATTTACTGAGCAGGCGTTTCGAAATCCTAGACAGGTCACTTAAGCAACTGTCACGAGCTTCTTTGACATTCATGTGTCTGCTCAAATCAATGCATGCAAAAGGCTTGCTTCAAAAACACACCGATTCAAGCAGCCAGCTTGTACGCGCATACACTACTCATATGTCATTCTATATTTGGCGCGCTTTTGGTGCGACCAAACTTCAGTAGTTGTGGGATTTACTAGCAAAATTTCATTCTAACTATGGTATTGCTTATGCCAATTATACGCCGACTTCATATTCGCTGGTTCGAGTGTTGTACCTTTTTACAATTTTGAAAGCGTGGGGGTGACAGCTGAATACTTGCCATGCTGGGCACATAACACTCATTCTTGAACTGAACTGATACTTCCCCGCTTATTCAGTGGAGTTGTTGTGAAGACCTACCAGGGGAGAGTCACAAAACACGTCGAGGCACGAACTGCCGAACAGCAGCGGGGCACTGAGACGATTATGGCACGAGTACCATTCTTCTGCGTTACAGTTCATCAGCAATGTTCGATCAAAGGCAGGACGCATGGTAAGCAATCGACATGGATAGGATTCCAATATTTCAAACCAACCCCAGTCAGCAGGTAGTATAAGTATCTGAATACGAAAGGCTAACAACTATATCCATTGATAAACAACCACACAAGCGCCCAACGAGAACAGAAATCTGTCACCCTAAAACCTGGATATAGAACTGGGGGTCGTTTTGGCGAATAAAACTAAGTAGAAGGAGGAGATAGACGCCATCCACAATGAACCTACAAGACTAAGAAAAGTGGGGCAAAACGCAACAATAACGAGATAATCAGCAAGGCCTACGCGCTCCTTAAAATAACACAGTAATCGATGTTGATGTCTTCAAACGTCCTGAGCAGACAAGAAGCAGGGGAGTTGAATAATATACCTACAAGTTCATCATATATAGACTCAATCAGACATCCAAAACACACCCGGAAACGCATCGTACAGCTGTTTAATCCTTTCGGGAATCGTCAGTAGTGCGCATTCCATCTGACCACCTTGGGGTTAGAAATAGCAACCCGACTGTTACCAGTCGGTGATGAGGACCACTGGGCTA